TTGTACAATTACGCATATTTGTCGCCACGCGACTGCCTTTGGAAGCGTCCCTCAATGTCGTGCAGTTGGTTCCGGAGGAGACGCGGGGCCTTGGCCATGCCATCCATACCTCTTCATGGAGGCCGTCTTCGTCAATGTTTGCAGATTGTTTTATCGTAATTTTACTGATCAGCAGACGCCTGTCAGGAGCATGGCTGGGGCTCCTGGAGCGTATGGCTTCTGTGATCAGGAGCATGAGCGCCAGCCTTCTCAGGTAATAAGCAATTATCTACTGTAACATCTTACGTGACCACGGCACAACGTCGGTGACCGTCAGGGCTGGCGACTACCTAGTGCACCAATGGATCACCAAATCGACAGTGCCCGTCTCGATGGCAAGCTGTATTGACTGGTATGCACGACACGTTGCCTGACTAATGCAGAAGAGGTAATGGCTTGAGCCGCATGTGGACCTGGGGTTTATGGCGGACCTGGCCAATTTGCTGACCAACGGGCCGGAGCTCGACGCCAACGAGACATCGGATGCAATAATTGCGAACCAGCTTCACGAGAATGGGCTGAAGGACCTTGCGACCATGAAGGCAGTGACTGACGGTAAGGTCGCATTGGATGCGGTTGAGTAGCAAGAGCGTGTTACCCTGCTGGATAAAATATAATCAAGCTCCTTCAGCAAATGCTGAGCACAAGTTTTGTTGGGGGTCGGGACCTTGGATACCGGCTTATGCAAGGTGTAGCTGCGCTTGTCGATGTGGCACACCGGAATGCACACCGGAATGCACATGTACTGAACACACCCACGAGGCACCACCAAGTCTTCGAGGTTTCAGGGCGCTTATGCATCCTTTTCATTGTAGCCGTGCTAGTGCTAGACACATGCCCATACAATGGATTAGGGTGCCCCTCTCGCAGGGGAAAGCAGGGACTGCCTCGGGAAAGGGGTCTGCTGGCGAAGTTAACCACCCTGTAACAACATACATACACCCATACACACATTTCATGTCCACATCCAAGAGCATACCACATGAACAACCTCATGCTTCGCTTGTCTCGGGAGCTTTTTACCTCACCCCAACCAAAACCCGATACATATAGTTTTCTGAGCCATGTTGGTGCCTTTGTTCTCTCCATGATGCATGCGGTGCAGGGGTGGTGACCGGTCACCACCCCTGGGTACCCACACTGTGCTTGTGGATGCAAAACCGGCGATTTCATCATTGTGGGAGCTGGCACCTGACCTGACAGCAGTGAAGGCCCTTCAGCTCACCAAGGGACCTTGTGCCCCTGCTGTGCAGCGGCATGAGGACTCCTATGAGGACTCCAGCTAGAGGGGCAAGAAAGTGCATCACTGGCACCAGTGATTTTTTTTTCATTTAGGGGGGTCTCAATTTATTCCAACATAAGTTACAAAGTTGCTAGCGTCGCCATAATGTATTCCTTAAGAGTGGGGTGCTGGGGGGGGGCTACACCCCCCCCCAGCCCCCCCCA